CTCCCTTGGGTGGCCGCCAAACTGGAAGGTTGCTGGGCCAAAAAACTATGCGTGCCTCTCGCGCCAACGTTAGTGGAGGTACAGCCTTGAAAGCAGCTGGAAAAAAAAGAAAAAAAAAAAAAAAAGTTTCCTCGGGGGTACGTTTGTGTGGCACGCGTTGTGCCCTGTCAAGTGGGATGCCCCTCTGGACGGTCCTTTTGCGCCACCCCTTTTTTTGGAAAATTATCGCCCCGCACTCGCCACGCTGTTGTAACGTTGTTGGAAAATCGTCACAATTTTGTTGTCAATTTTTGCCCCTTCTTTTTTCTCCTTCTTTTTTCTCCTTCTTTTTTCTCCTTCTTTTTTCTCCTTCTTCTTTCTCCTTCTTTTTTCTCCTTCTTTTTTCCCCTTCCTTTTGCCGCTGCACAAAACGGCACGGCCGCGAAGAGACAGCTTCGCAACCGCGGGAGAGACACTTCTCCCCCCTCCCCTGCGCCTCCCACAATGGTGTTGACGAAGCGGTATGAGTACTCCCCTCTGGAGGAGATCTTTTTCCCCAAGCGGACTCCAAACGCGCAGTGTTACTCCGATGAAGATTTATCCCTTGGAGACAAAGGAAAAAAGGGGAAGGGGAAACACACCCCCCTTCCGAAGCAGAAGAGGACTGAGATGAGCGGAGTAAGGCACAAAAACGTCAGCCCCAACATCAACCAGATAAAAGACGAATTGCTGCAACCGGAGCTGTCCCTAGAATTGTGCCAACGGAAAAAAAATTACTATCTCAATACCAGGCACGAAAGCCATGTGCAGAGCTATTTCTTTTTTTATGACTACCGAAAGTGCTTCCTCAACATGGATGGGAAGATGTTCATCGACCGGAACCCCGTGCGAATATTGAGTGAGCCCCCAGCTGCGTGTCCAGCCGTTTGTCTCTACGTTTTGACTGCCCTGCTGATGAGCTCCTGATAAGCTGCCACTCACCTGCTACTGACCCGTTTCTAATTTTTCTTTGTTCCTCCTCCACCCGCGCAGACGACGGCACGAACCCAGACGAGAGGCTCAAGGAAGCCATCCCCGTGCAGAATTACAACTCCTTCGTCTACGCATACGACATATAAGTGTGCGGGGTGCCACGTTGGGAGGAGAGCTCACCTCCTTCGATGGTCCCATCGGGGGAGACCCACATCGGACAGAAGACTGCACTTTCGTCGTTGTCGTGCCTGGCAATTTCCCGGGCAGACATTTCTAAATCGAATTAGCGGGGCGCCTGCGCGCGCCGGCAGAGGGGCGTCATCGGAAGTAAAGAAGTAACGAAGCCAGACGAAGTAACGAAGTGAAATGAAGTGAGGAGCCTTAAAAGAAGGCAAAGCGGAAGCAAAACGGAAGCAAAGCGAAACGAAGCGCACACCCTGCAAAGGCACAGGGGCGCACCCATAAAGGGAAGAAAAAAAAAAAAAAAAAAAAAAATTAAATTAGCAAAGGGGGGAAAAAGTACACACAACAGGAGCTGTTCGCAGGGATTCGCAGCGGAGTAACCATCACTGGCCACGCAGTGTCGTTAAGCGGCCGCTGTGCGGCTATACCACAGTGCCGCCCTACCGCCGTACCGGCATCCCCTACTCGTTCGGCGGGCGCTTCTCATTTATGCTGTCGATCTGCTTGGCCTTTTTGAATTTCTCCAACTCGTTCTCCAGACCCTCCCTGCCCTGCAGCAGGAGGCCCACTGGGATCCTGTACCCAGGGCTGCACCCCTTTAGCTGCACAATCAACTCGTTCTCCTTGCGAAGCGTCCTAAATACTCTCATGAGACGACCAACCGATTGGACCTTTTTCCTGAGGGCATCGGATCGTTCCTTGGACGCCTGCGCGTCATCGGTGGGGAGGTGCGCTGCTTTTCCCCCCTGGGCGTCCATCTGCTGAGTAGACTCAGCAGCGGTAGCAGGAGACCCCTCTAATGCTTCCCCCTCATTTTTGGATGCACCACTATAGAAGCAGCCTTCTTTCAAAAGCGCTTCCTCCCTCTGAGAGGAGGAGAGTCCCCCTTCGGTAGGAGTACCTTCCCCATGAGTAGCGACACCATTATGGGCAGTGTGTTCCTCTAACTTCATATTGTTCTCCTCAATGTAATTAATAATCTGGAGTATCTCCGTGGGAAGCACAACGTCCATGACTCCCTCATCCGACTGATTTACGCTGGAGTTTAAAATGCAGTAAAGCATTTCTGTGACTTTCTCACTGACAAAAGGAAGAGACCAGGTAAATAAATTCATGAAATTAGGTAGATGATACGGATGGGGTGAGAAGCTAAATTGCTGTATGTTCAGAGTGTTGCTATCAAATTTGAGTACCGCCCCTTTGTTGTTATAAACGTCGCAATAATTCGGTGCTGAAAAAATCGTGATGACTATAGGGAAGCCCGTCTTCAAATTGGTTTGGTGCATTTTGTATCCCTCCAGCTGTGCCTCGTGCGCTCTTATAATGGAGAGTAATCCATTTTTCTCCAAAAAGGTCGTAGCAGCATTGTATCCAAAGAAGTAGCTACATCCTCGAATGTCATTCGGGAAAAAGGATTCTGTCTGGATGGTGTGCTCCTCCTTGTCTTCATCAATAGGGTCAGCCCATAATATGTCACAGAAGATGCCTGACCTGGGAGGCTCCTGAAATCTTGTGAATGAACAAATCTGATTCAGCAGTACCAGCTGTGGGGAGAGGCCTCCATGGACAGCTAGAAACTTCCCATTGATGACAGCCGACAAGGGGAGTGTATCAAATGATTCCATAAAGGCATAGTAGACGACCATGTCGTATTTATATTCACACTCATCTCGGAAATTGAAGAATGAGGTCATCTGCCTACATTCATGATTTCCTCTTATTAACCATATTTTATTGGGGAAATTAATTTTTAAGGCGTAAAGGTGTAACAGGACTTCTATACTGAAGGATCCTCTGTCGACATAATCGCCAAGAAAGAGAAATTGAGTGTTGTCTGGGTTCCCTCCCACTTCTAATAGCTTTAAAAAATCGTAGTATTGTCCATGTATGTCTCCGACGATTGTTATTGGGTCTTGGAGCCTCAGTAGGTTTGGCTCGTTACTCACTATGTCGATTACTTTCTTTATTATGTCGAGGCAGTCTTCCTTTCGGATGCGTCCCTCCTTCTTCAGGTGGTCCCGCAGAGCTTTGTAGTCTGGTGGCTCGTCCGTGCCGTTCGGGTAGAGGAGCTCCAGGCTGAGCGGCTAAAAGTGGAAGGGAGGGACAGTGTTCAGATTAGCGGTGTAGCGATCACCTCAGTGATGGTACTGATCATGTTAGTGATAGTGATACGGGTATGGAGCCAATTTGCGAAGCCACCTCACCCCGCGGCTGTACTGTGCGTTCCAGAAAAATTATCACCCGGCGTGATAGGAGGGGAGGGGGGAATCCCCGTTTGTCTCGATTTCATCCACACGGTGAGATATCCATCCCGTTGGTTACGCTTCCCAGTAGTGCCATTGCTGGTGACAATTATGTGGGATCTCCCTCGTAGGATCTCCCTCGTGGGATCTCCCTCGTGGGAGGAAGGCAAACTTATGCTAGCAATGGGAGAGTTCCTCTTGCAATCACCTGTCGGGGCCGCGACTGGGAAGTGCGCCAACCACAGGAGCTCCTTCGTTTATCTGCACCTTTGCTACTGAGACATCTGCACGATGACGTCCACTCCGTATGCATTTCGTCTGACCCTTCTTTGTAGTTCCTCCTCGAATGTGCCACGTGAGGAGGAACCACCAGCAGGGAAATAGCAGCGGGGATCCACCTGGGTACACCCTACTGCGCAGATTTTACACGGTGAATTTTTTTTTTCCATCTTCCCTTCCCTGCACGATGACCAATCTGGCTAGCTCGTTCGTTTGGCTCCGACACACAGTACAGCCCCCTCTGGATGTTCGAGGCGTCGGCATGGAGACTTCCCCCCCCCTGGTAGAGTTTCCCATCCGTCCAGGTACATTCAGGGGTGGGAGATGTGGATCCCCTCATGCGCGCGGGACGTAGAGGTTCACTCGCCGCGCAGCTACACGAGTGAAGAGGCGTAGAGCTGAGCCCCGTACAGCTAAGTGCCGTACAGCTGAGCGCCTCCAACTGTTACCTTCGCGGGTGGGGGTTCCACGTCTTTCACTTGTCTATCGTTCTTAGGATTTGGTAGAGGCTCCATTTCTGCAAAATTGAGGGTTCCTTTTTTTTTTTTTTTTTTTTTTTTTTTTTTCTTCTTCTGCTTCTCCTTATTGAATTCTGCAGGGGTACATGATGCTGACTGCTTTTTTTACTTAAACATGTTAAATTGGAAATTTATAATTACATAAAAAGTGAGGCATCATATTGACATAGGGCGTAGAGGGGGAGGAAAAAAGGAAAAAGTTAAAGGGGATGATGCGGCGGAAGAACGGGCGTGAGAAGTAAGACGTACGAATGGCATTTGAAGCTACTAAACAAATGGGGAAGGCGAAAAGAAAGTTTCGAATTGGTAAGCATAGAAAATGTGGCCATTAAAAGTGCGTGTCATGCAAGTGCGTTTTTGTTCGTCACGTTCGTTATGTTATGTTTGTTTCTTTATTTTTTTATTTTTTTTTGTGTTTTGTGTGTTTTTTGCGTTTTCTGCGTTTTCTGCGTTTTCTGCGTTTTCTGCGTTTTCTGCGTTTTCTGCGTTTTTTACATTTTTCCTGTTTTTTTTTCTTTTTCTGTGGTGTGTAAAATGGCTTCCTTCTGTTTTCCTTTGCTTTGTTTTGTTTTGCCCTGCTCTGCTTTTCTTCCTTTTTTTTTTTTTCTTCCCATTTTGGGGAAGTGAATATAACTTCGGGGGGATGAAGTGGGAGAAGGATTCTTCGCGTTTGTGGGTCCCCCCACGGGGGTGTAATTTTGGGGTGAAGGAAAAAATGGAGGAGGTTCTTGACAAAGAAAGCTGCCCCACGCGCATATGCGCGCAAGTGAATCTGCTCATTTTGTAAATATATGGACATGCCACTTTACACACACAGGGTGTGTACCTGCCGTGAGAGATGAAATTGGGACGAAAAGGCGATCGTGTGTCACTGCATAGGTTTCTGCGTGGGGAAGACCCGCCCCCCCAAGTGAATAATTTTTCGCTGACTGTTGGCAAAGCTGTCCCGTCGCAGAATGAGTCCCTTCGCAGGAGTCCCTTCGCAGGAGTCCCTTCGTGAAAGTGTACCTTCACTGCGGTGAAGCAGCACCCGCTTTCCCAACCACCACTTGTGTGCGCTTACCCCTTCCGTATGAACACATCCCCCTCTTGTCGAAAAAGAAAAAAAAAATGAAGATGAGAGGAAGGCTTCTTCCGTTTGAGGGATCGAAATGGTGGGGCGAGCTTCACATCCGGACAGATGAATTTTTTTCGGAAATCTTTACCGCGTTGCCACTTTTCTATTTGTTGAAATTCCCCCGACGTACACCCCGTGAGTTTGCGCTGATGGGACAGTGGTAGTACCCGTTTGGCGAGAAGGTGCGAGTCCAGAGAGACGCGGAACTGCTCCAGCCAAAAAGCGTGACGAAGCGTAACGAAGCGCAACGGGCAGAGAGCCCTCCGGTGGGGGGATGCACATATTATTGGGATTACCATCCGGACGAGTGTGTCCCTGCGATTCGGCAGACATCTACTTGCTGCAGCAGATGTCCCATAGGGGGGATTTACCTTATCCTACAGGGGGGGAGGGCTGTCGCCATGGCAGAGACGTTTCAAAATGTGATGAGGTGATATCGTCCAAGTGGAGGTGAGGAAGGACGCTCCATCGAACGGTTATACCACTCAGTTTGGGAACGAGTAGCAAGTAGGTTGATTTTCTTCCAAAGAGGTCGTCCTCTCATTTAAAAAAATAAAAAACAAAAAAAAGTTGCAAATTGAGACACAATCTAACTTTGGAACAGATGTTCATATGAAAATAAGTAATGCGTGGATCCATTTTGTCTCTTTTTTTTTTTTTTTTTTTAGACAGAGTCTTGCTCTGTCGCCCAGGCTGGA